CCGCGCTGTCGCTTCGTCGACGGGAACTCCAGCACCAACGACAACCTTGCGCAAGATCGCAAAAGTCGATCCCCGAAGTCCGGTATGGTTGCTGGAAGACTTCAGCAGTCTAAGCAAGCCCGATGCCACAATTCCTGATTGCGCAAACACACTCTCTCCGGCGACCGCAAAGACCTCTCCCAAACAGTGAGCCGCGGCGAACTTCGTCTTGAGCTCCGCCTCATTTTTTCCTGCATTCAGTATAGCAAGAAGGTCTGTTACTGTTTCAAAGAGTATCCCCCGATCTCCTTTGCCAAGTATAGCGCCAAAAGAGCGGCCAAGGTTGTTGCGGATAACACGAGTGATCGTTGGCGACGAGAGGGTCAATATCTTGAATAGTTCCTTCTTCAAGAACTTCTGTTGCAATGATACACTCGCCGAATCTAGGTCCGAGATATATTGTACCAAGTCCGAAGTGAAGGTGAGAAGGTAGAGGTCCTGCTGTTCGGAGGGAAGCGCATGGAGCTTGGTGATGTCCAGCTCCGCACGAGGGGCCGCATTGTCGGAAGCAGCAGCTGTTGTTGCGTTTTCAGAAGAAGACATTGAATCCGACTGGCTCCGTCAGGCATTACCCATTAACCATATAACAATAACAACAAAGAGAGGCAAAATCTGAAAATTAGTATATGACTGAACCAGCCCCAACTATGTTCCAGCTGATTGCGTCGGTGTCCCCTTAATCGGGCAGTTGGCCCTCTCGCCGGCCGCCGGAAGAATGTCGGTCCGTGTACGTATCTATACTTGCACTGTTCCTGAATCGCGAGTTTTATATGATTCTGCAGCTGCAGAAAGTGACACAGTCTGTTTCTCAATGGCATCGATAGTGAGCCAAAGATTGTTATTACCGCAACGTCGCCGGACGGGGCAATCGGTATGCGAGATATGTCGGAGTTTCTCCAGCGGCGCCCCGTTGTTCGCTGGTCACAATCGATGGTCACAGATAAAGCATGACAAGGCGAAGAATGACAAGGCAAAAAGCAGAGAGCGTCAAACAATCGCGAAGGAAATTAGCAGTGCTACGCAGAGTGCGTGTTTGGACTCCGAGTTTGCCGAGGTCAGCGCATGCTTACTTTTTTTGCAGTGTGGGGAGCTGATCCCAAGTTCAACCCCCGACTAACTCTTGCACTCTCTAATGCGAAACGTGCCGGTATACCGAAGACTGTGATTGAAGCAGCTATTGCCAGAGGCCAGGGAATAAGTGTAACCGGCGAGGCCCTGGAGTCGGTAACGATTGAAGCCATCTTACCCCATTCCGTTGCGGCGGTTATCGAATGCCAGACCGATCAAAAAGCTCGCGTATTACAAGACCTCCGGTATGCTATCAAGGACGCCGGCGGTACTGTTACTCCAACAACATATCTTTTCGAAAAGAAGGGCAGGATCATATTTGAGAAGAAGGACGGCGTGAATACGGATGATTATCTAGACCAGGTCATTGAGGCGGGAGCCATTGATGTAGCGACGGATGATGAAGGCCGACTTGTGGTCTTTACGGAACCAACAGAAACCAAGAGCGTCGGCGAGACGCTCACAGAAGTGACGGGACTCGCTATAAAGGAACTTGACATTATCTGGGATCCGAACAAGGACACTATGGTGGAGTTGAACGAGGACGAGCAAGTCAGGGAAATTGAGGACATTCTGAGTACTCTTCGAGAGGATTCTAGTGTCCAAGATATTTATCTGAACACATCTACGCAATTCTGATGACCATCAACACGGGGACTTGTCATATATATACACCGAACGAGTCTCACGAACCCCCTGGCAGCTATAGACATAGAACTTACGCGATTAGCAGATTCTCCTAATAGAAAATTACTGTATCATACAAATATCAAACCCTGGATCGTCAATCTGCGCCCTCTACCGCTCTAGGGTATTACCAAAGCAAAATTCAATACAGAATATCTGACATCCAACCAAGACTTCCAAGTGTTCTCAACATCGGCCAATATCAACATCATTCCTTACGTAAAGCTTTCATCGTACTGCGCATCAAGTTCCCAATTCCACGGCTTCCTGTGGCGTCTAGCCAGTCAAGCATACGCACCCTGTACTCCTGCCAAGTCAACTTGACACCACCGTCTTTCTCAAGTGCACTCAGTGCCTTCTGAGTCACGGGTTTCCTCAATCTAGGCTTGCCCTCGGTGATGTTGTTCTCTTCCTCTATGTCAGCGAAGCAACCGGCTGACATGTTGCACAGGGCTACATGGTAACTGAGAGAGAAAATGGAAGATAGGTTGAAGAAAAACGAAGCCTCGCGCTTCCTGTCTCGGGATGCCTCGTTCAATTCCCGAGCGTATTGTGTGAGTGCACTCGTCGTAGCAGCTGGCAGGAGACAGCCAAGTGCGTTTGGATCGTCGCCATTGAGCCCTCGATTTCGCCAAACCAGATTGCAGACGTCCATGACGTAGCCGTTGAATTGGCCCACCAATTCAGTCGGATACAGCGAAGTTGTAGAGTTTGGTACTTGAAGAATTTCGGATGTCAGAGATGTTTCGAAGGACATTTTGTAGCTGGCAAGAACGGAGCTGATGATGGAGATGCTGGAGAGAATCGGTGTAAAAACGAGAGTGTAGACTGTCGGAGCTAGAGGAATAGTAAGACGGATCTGGCCATTCACGGACGCATAAGAGAATAGGTCGGCTATAACGCAGTAGAACTCGAGGACAGATAGAGCGGCCGGTTTGCGAGGTTCCTCATTGTCGGTATTGGACGGCACTGAAAGACTCTCTAGTATTGACAATGCCAGCAGTTCCGCATGCGTGATTAGGCGTCCCAATGGTTTTGATTCTGCAGAGACTGAAGGTGACGTCCTCAGCTTCACACCCCATTGCCGAATAAGTGAAGAGTAAAAGTCAAGAATGACTGTCATGGAGAATGGTCCGCTACCCAGTATGGCAGCCTCCAAAGGAGTCAGAAAGTTGGCTCGTAAAGTATCGAAGTCCTGGATGGGCAGGTACTCAAGAAGACTGAGAACCTCTGCTTTGTTGTCACGGCCGTTCCAAGACGAAAGATATTGTCTTAGAAAAGACTGGACTGACGCAGGAATATCCTGTAACAAACTGCCAGTCAAACAGGTGTACATCCATGGGGCCAAGATGACATACCTTTGTATAGCGCACATAATTCACGATGAGACTCAAGATGTAACCTAGAGATTCTGACGAGCCTAGTTCTTCGTCTTGAGCATGCTCCAACCGTTCGTCAAAAAAGCTGCTCAGCCAATCATCTAACCGGAGCCTTGCAGACTCCGGTTGAGCCAGATATAGATATTTCTGGGCTATGTTGTCTGCCATTGCGGATATAATCTGATTTGGAAGTTCAATGCGGTCGAGCTTTCCAATCAAGTGGTCGACGCTTCGCAGCTCTTCTAACGAGGTACGGTTGGATGACACCCTCGATGTCTGGAGAACAGGAACGATCACTTCCATTTTCCCCCTCTTCGCCGCTCCACGATGAACTACTTGAAAGCTTGATGTCTGCGCCGCTTGTACTTGCTCCATATTTCTGTCTTGAAGAAGCCTTGCGTGACTAGTCCACTCGGGGTCGGGATGCTTGAAGACCAAGCCTTTCCGTCTCAAAGCCCCCAGGTCACCCACGATGATGTCTGGATAATAATTCTTGAAGACGTTAAGCAAACCGATGAGCTCTTTTTCTTCCGCGCCTGCAGCATTGACCAGTTCCATAAGAGCTTGTATCCTATATGGCTTGACGTGCTTCCGCCTTGTGATCATTGAAAGCAAATGGCATAACGGCTTGCGGAGACTGATCATATCAAGGTGATTGAACAGCACCGCATAAAGTTTAGTGAGATGCGACCTGTCCTCGCAGAATTCGTAGATGAGGATGAGCCATCGCAGCAGGGAAGCCTGTGTAGCAGGACTCGGCTTGTTCTTGCTGGGACCGAGGCAACAGACGACCTGCGTGACAACCTTGGAAGAGATCCTGTCTATCGGATAGAGATTTTTTATCAAGGTAGTAATTGTTCCTTGATCAAGGTGATTATTTCGTGTCAAAATGTGGATCAATCGCTCAAGTGCAGATGGGCTGATGCCGCTTTCATAAGCGTGCGAAGCGATTGTTTTGGCCAGTTGACCGGCATCAGTGTATCGCTTCTTTGAGGGCACATAAGCAACTGCAATTAAACGTTAGCAAGAGAACCCGCGAAAATCGACTGAAGTACGATAAAAACAGGCAAACAGACCTGCTTCTAGATGCTCAAGCGCATCAGGCAGGCTACTCGGCCTGGGCTCTATGCCAGACGGGCCTGAAGAGTTGTTAGCGATGGTCATCAATTTGGGGGGACCTGGCTGTAACATACTACTTTGTGGATCGGACGACATCAATTGTAAAATTTCACATGAAGATTTGATTCAATTCAGATACTGCCGCGTTCCCTTTCTCTGGTTGGCATTGGCAGTATCGCGCTCATTCACGTTTTGTTGTGGTTCTTCGCGTTCCGTCGACGTCTCTTCGCGCCAATTCGATAATATGCGAATGTCTTTGTGCCGACACCAATCGTCTTCTTGCCAACAAATAAAAACAGTTGAATTTGGAAATCAGTCTGAACCACTTGTAGATCAATGCAACAGTTCGTGACTTTGTATCTTCAACCGTGCATTCCTATGGGTCGCGGGAATTGTGAGCTTAAACCGAATCTGGCGATCAACCATATATGGTAGTCTACTGCTCCCAATTCTAACTCGGTTGTCCTTGAAGTCGAGAAACGAGAACTATGTCTCATGTGTTTGGCCTCATAAGTGTTCTGCGCTTCAGTAACGCGGATTCTATGGTTATTGGGTCTGAGAAATTAAAAGATACCGTTGATGAAGGTTAAAACTCATGAAGAAAAATGTAGATTTTGCTGATGGCAAATTATATCTAAGCTTTCATTCAGGAGTTATGGTATATAGCTCCTCCCGCATCACACAGAAGAAAGACGTTTCGAGTCATTCTTACTTCCTCTTCCGTGTCGACTTCTCAGCATTGTCCCTTCCAGACGCTTCAGACACCGCTTCCAACTTCTTCTCGGATTCAGCTGCTGCCGGCTCCTCTGTCTCCTCATCGCTGTCGCCTCCCTGTCCAAATTCATTGACCCGCTTGTAATCAACCTTGTACTTATAGCTCTGGTAGAGCCAGATAAAGAAAATCACATCATCGCGGAGAGTGGCAAGCCGGTGGAGCCATGGCATCTTGACAGTAAATGCGAACAGATCATCGATGAAAGTGTTGAGGAATTTGTACGTCAAGGCCTTGCCAGGCATATGAGCAACAGACTGTTGACAATATTAGCTTCGCTACAGAGGTATGAATCGAGGGGCACCAACCTTCAGACGGTAGTTGATATAGAGACTGGGAACCATCATCAAAAAGCCATATGCGTAAACGCTGCCGACAAGCGTTTCAATAATGTAGGAATACCACGATTTGTGTGTGTTATAGATCAAGCTGTAGGCTGCATATGCACCGAGGAGAGGCACAGCAATGATGTAGAGCCAACGGAATGCAATTTCATCATACTCCTTGGTCTTCTTCTCAGTTTCCGAAAGCTTGTGCTTATCCTCGAATACCACAACGTAAGGAAGGAAAGAGTAGAAAGACCCGGCTGGCGGCGCACGCAGACGCACATTCACTGTCTTGGTGATCTTCCACGCCTCCAGTAAGATACCGAAACCTTGGCTGGCAAGGATCATCCAGGAAGTGTTTTCACTGTTATCCATCAAGTAGAGGAAGATGACCGTTTGCATGAACACGTTAGCCAAAATAGTGCGGACTGAGGTCCCAACAACGTCCTTCTTCTTGCGCCAGTGAGACTAGATAGCCATTAGATCGACTGCATACTGTGGTCAAGTGAAAGGAGCAACCTACAATGTCGTTCTTGAACGCCAAAGTTTCGAAGATCATGTGCAGAATCGTAACCACACCAGTTGTACCAAGCAACCAAATGTTCGTGTTAAGGAGGACTTCCTTGACCATCTCGAACTCAGAGCCATCGCCACCTCCAGGCACGGAGCCTCCAAATGCGGCTTGCCGGGCGTTAGCCTTTGCATTCTCGTCCACACTTGCCATCATGCTAAATTTCCAGTTGGACAGATTGTTCAGAGTGATCCGCAACGGCATCGTCTTCACGGTGGAGTTGAGCTCGGTCATATGGCTTCGGAGTTGCCAAAATGTATTCAAGAACACAATAGGGTAGTACCACCCATTCTGACCAGAGGCATCTCTTGCGCCCGTGGCCTCGAGTTGCATGTGATGCCGAATAGCAGGGTGTACTTGGCGGTATTTCTGAACTCCGGAATCAGGAATCAGCGATACCGTGAAGTTGGGGTGGTAGTATGAGGCAATAGAGACATCCGGGATGCTGTTGTCTTCTTCCTCCTCCTCGGTACCGTCCGAGCTGGCAAGCAAGTTCTTGAGCTTCTTGACCTTTTTCTTGGGAAGATAATGGTTCAGTGGGCGGAAGAAGTGCACAGCACTATCTGTGCTATAATCCTTAGCCGTTGGGTCGAGTTGGTATCCAGTGAGCGCAACATAGAAATGCGCCCAAAGCGTTCCATTTTGCTGGACTTCCTTGGGAATCTCGATGGTAGTCGCGATTTCCCTGGTGTCACTGTAATTCCCGATCGTGAAGTTCTTTTCACTCAATACAAGAGAATCCGGTGGCAGCGAGCTGAGAGAAGGAAGGACAATGGAAGGCGAGACATAGATGCTGATATCAACGGCGCTGTTCGGGGGCCAAATTGGAGCAACGGTGTCGGGGATAGGACTGTAGTCGGCGATTTCGCTGCGAGACGGACGAGCTTGGAAGGAGGTCAATTCGCCAGGCTTCGCTCCGGATCCAGCATTCTGTGACTTGTTTCCGAAAAATTGAGAGATCAGAAACTGCGTCAGCATGAAAATGGCGAGACCCTGAAGAGCACCCTTCAGGCCGGACTAGAAGGACACGAGTGCATGTTAGCTTATCAAGTCTTGCGGCGCGGGCACTGGTACAAATGAATACGTACGCCGCCAGACTCCTGCTCTTCCCTGCGCTGTCTCTGTTCTGGCATCGTGCTCTGCTGACTAGCGATGAACGATGACAAAAATGACAAAAAGAGTAATAGTCTCAAAAAGGAGGGAGGGGGAAAGGAAAGGTAGAGCCATAGCTGACGGTCGAGAACCAATCGAGCTCGGTCCACCTTGGCGGGCCTTAGGCCGTACGGAGTATTAGCAGCGTTCTCGCTTGGCGGAGTCGATGATCAATGATGTCGTCTCCGAACTCCATTCTATGCAATCAGTATTGTGATTAACCTCCTCTTGCTTGTACTGTGGTAAAATTTCACGCCAATCTATACTGGCAGCATTCTTATCCAATCGCGGCTTCTAGGACCGTCCGTCCGCGATGGGCTTGTCTGGCGCGTGAACTATCGGCTGCGACCTAATGACTGACAATCAACCCCCTCCCGATTATTCCCGCCCACAGTTTCCTGCCCATAGCGAACCGCGAGTATGGATTGTCACTGCAGGAGACTCGCCCATTGGGATATCGGTTACCCGCCAGATTCTTAAGCACGGAGACTATGCGTTAGTGGGACTGGCGCATACATACTTGGACCGGGACGAATGCCGTCGCGAGGAGTTCGGGGAGTTCCTGGCTGAAGTTGAGGGTAACCGCGACGAAGGATGGGTGGAACGCTTCAAGACAGTCCCTTTGGATATCAGGTGCGGACGCTTTTGACCCTGAATTTACTGATCAGAGCTCACGTTCGACATGTAGAATGATAGGGCAATGTCAAGCCTTGGTCGCCGAGGCAGTCGCAGCATTCGGCAAGGTAGACATCCTACTCTGCTGTACTAGCCAGAGTAAGGAATCTATTCTACGGTCTTCTGAGTTCTATTTTGGGTGCTGACACGCCAGAAGCCCTTGTCGGCGCGGTAGAGGAGCTTGCAGCTTCTCAGCAGACCTTGAACTTGGTCAAGGATCAGTTTGAAACCAATTACTTCGGTCCTCTGAACATCATCAAAGCAACGCTCCCTCACATGAGGAAGCAGAAATCCGGTCATATCATGATTCTTTCTAGCATTAGTATGATATCCCTTGGCCCCTATTGCTCCGATGCGACTCTAATCTGGAGTAGCTGCCCACATTGGTACACCGGGCCTTGGGATGTACTCCGCCGCTGGCTGGGCCCTGGAGGGATTTTGCGATGTAAGTTTTTGGCAGAATGCACATTTCTTATATTTTAGCTAAGAAGTCGCATTATTTAGAGCCTTGCATACGAAATCGCTCCATTCAACGTGAAGCTCACAATCTTCCAATGCAGCATCGAAATCGGTATCCTGACAAACTTGATCACCAGTGTGCCTCCCATAGTTCCAGCGTACTCTCCTGCTGTCAACCATGCCCCTTTGTTCCGTGGTATATTGAACAGACTGGTTCCTCGTCTGCCCCACCAGCACACTCAGGGCACGGAGAACGGTCCCCAAAACTCAAATCAAGTCAGCTCTGCTGAAGAAGGGCCCTTTTCCGCCCCCAGAGTCTTCTCCATGTATCCACCACTAAGTTCCGCGCATATGGAAGTCCTGGTTGAAGAGACTGTGTACGCTATCACAGCCATCGGTGGTCATGAAAACCCACCTTCACGTCACATAGTGGGGCAAGAAGGTGTTGCAAGCGTCAAAGAAAAGCTCAAAACCGTCAGCGAAGAAATGGAGGATTTCATCCAAGCAAGCTTCGCCGTCGATTATGCTGCCGACGGTGGCCCCGGTCCGTCCAAGGAAGATAATATGGCCCTGGGGGCAAACCACAATGAAAAAGTTTGACGCCAAATCGCGGGCTCTCTCAAATCTTGCTAAAGCGCTTTCTCCGAGACTTCAACTGCTATTCCGTTCGGTAAAAGTAGCTCTTAAGGGCTCCACGTAAGATTGAAGAGAACCCCTGGCCGAAAACGATTTGAGGAAATGACCGTCAATGCTTGTTTCAACTCGTAGCCAGCACACAGATCTACCAGTCACATTTAAGAGAAGATTTTACTTCCCTCTAAGGTACCAAGCCTGTCTGACTTCCCATAAACTTCCCATGTCCTGGTTGTTTCGGTAAGATCGAAATTCCTTCCAAGCATTCCCGTTGGGAACGTCCTTGATACGCCCATCCACTTCCAAGATTTTCAAAGCGAGGGCGTTTGGACCCCCGATATTCTCTAAAATGATTTCCGAGGTCTGATTCGAATCACCGGCCAAATTGGTTAAGGATGACTCCTCGTCCTTCGCTACACCAGAAGTGACGTTATCTTGAAGGACTTCAGTTGCTGCTGCGGCAACGCTTTCTCCTTCTGTGGTGTTAGTTGTTGAGACATCGTCGAGTGTCCCTGTAGGTAAGAATGAATCTGCCTCTGCTCGAGGACTGGTGACCTCCACCGCCAAGCTTCTGGGATTGGCTACAAGGACAACATCGTCATCTGGCTCACAATTCTGCGAGTCATCCTCAAAAGATACAGGTTCCTGTTGACGCTTTTTGCGACTACCGTGCTCGACTTCAGATTTCCGCTTTCTGGAAGATCTGGACATTTTTGTGTTATCGGTGTCGCCCTGTGCTTCTTCGTTCTCCTCTGCAGCTCCGTTCGTGGGGATCTCAGTTTTGGAAATCCCGTCGTCCTTGTCCTGAGAATTTGCCGTAGAATGCTGCCGGATTGGAGCTTGAACGGCAGGCAGAAAGACGCGTTGGCCTGAAGGGATCGCAAAAGTCAATCGCTTTCCGTTAATCTTCAGAATCTAGCCACGAGTATTGGTTAGCTCAAAGGGTATTTGGCGACCGAGAGATGAGGGCCTGCACTTACCTTTGCCTCCTTTTCAACTAAGATCTTATTTCGCCCTTTGCCAGCAAAGGTTCGCGAATACTTCCAGACATCGCCTTCGCGCACGACTCCATGCTCAATGAGCGTAGTCAACTTAACTTGGGAACTCTGTCCAGCGGCAAGAGTTTTGTCCATTCTCTGCTTTTGGCCCCAAAACTCTTCAAATTCCTCCTCTTTGAATCGGTCAAATTTCCCCTTTTCCCTCTCGCGCACAGCCTCATGAGCTTGGCGTTGCCATTCAGGGTCATAACGGCCATTTTGGAGGTCTAGCTGAAACAGTCGAATACTATCTCGCCAGAAGTTTGAATAGCGTAGGAAAGATTCGGGTAAAGGGGGTATCTTCGCTTCCGGATCATCGGACGTGGACTCGCGGTTCGGGTGTAAACTCTCAGGAAGAAGACTCAGTATCTCCTCTTTCTCGCTTTCTTCCAGGCAGTCCCATGCCTCCGGCCGCGCGAGCAGTTTCTAGATCAGAACAACATCAATCAGCTTTCCGGTCACGCTCTCTGACAGCGCACTTAATAATCTCGAGCGCGACGTACCACAAGGTCTATATCAATCAGTTGCGAAGTGGTACTGGTCATCAACTTTTCCTCCTCCCACCGATCCTTTGCCGTTCGTCGGGGATTCCGCTTCGGTTTGGTGTTTGTAGACATTGCGGAGCCGGACGCGCCAGCGTCTTCGAAGTCTGCTACATCAGCAGAGCGCGCCGAGCGGGTTCTGAATCATTATTGTTAGAGACATGCACTTAGGAGACAGGCAACAGACATGGGCCGCGGAGGGAAGCATATATCACAGCTTTGGCATAGATGGCATGGCATCACTTACGTCTTTGGTTGTTTCCGCGTACTGCCGGTCTCGACCGCCTTGCGCTTGCGGGCCATTGTTGAGGACAACACCAAGGGATCACGGAGTTAATGTGTTCTGACAGCTGTCTTCTGGAGGTCTGCGCACACTTTAGACGGTAGATAAGGTTGCAGTTGCTCTCATAATGGTCAAATCAACTCAGATTGCCAGGCTGGATGGTAAGATACAGCACACTGTAGTGTTGAAACGGGAGCAGTCACTGACGTTAAGAGTAAGGCCTGATGCTAGCAGCGTCGGTGGATGATGAACAAGTGAGTTTGACGACTATTCACTGAATTTTCCCAAGAGAAAAGCTAACTGAGTCTTTATCCAGGCAGAAGCGGAGCTTTCCGAGATTAAGTCTCAGGCCAAAATGATATTTCGCCGGTTGAGCCGCAATTCTGCACCACAAGCCAGTATTGAATCCGGCCAATATAATTTACAGTACGCACGGTCTTCATATGCAGAACCCATAGAAACCTACTTATTCCGAATTTAGCTACCTCATCAAAGACGACATCTGTTTTTTGTGTATTTGCGATCGCTCGTACCCCCGGAAGCTCGCCTTCACCTATCTCGAGGACCTAGCAACGGAATTCACCACCACATACTCCCCGTCACAGTATCATTCTCCGACTCTCCGACCATATGCTTTTGTGGAGTTCGACACTTTCATTCAACGCACCAAGAAGATTTACCAGGATAGCCGTGCATCGCAGAACCTCGACCGGTTAAATGACGAGCTTCGTGATGTGACCAAGGTAATGACCAAGAATATCGAGGACCTTTTGTATAGAGGTGATAGTTTGGAACGCATGGGCGAGCTATCGGGGCGTCTGCGGGAGGACAGTAGGAGGTATAAGAAAGCCGCAGTTCGCATCAATTGGGAGCTGTTGATCAAGCAGGTAAGTTGTCTCGACACACCCCTCCCCCAGGAAGATCCGAGAGATACCCTTCTAACTTATCATAGTATGGGCCATTTGCGGGTGTTGGCTTCCTCCTGCTCTTCCTAATCTGGCTTCGATTCTTCTGATCCCTTTCCTCTTCCGAGCGCTTAGGGTGTTTAACGCCCCTTCTTCAATGTATCTTAATGTTTCCTCATGGATGCAGGACATCCTGCCACTCGTACTTGGCCTCCTCAGTTTGGTAAACTCATAATCTCAAGCCACAGCCTCCCACTTGCTATTGCAAGACGCAGAGAAGCAAGTAACTCGCTGCTGACGGCAACCAGAAGAGAGTCTGCATATGAAGTATGAGACGAAGTCATGTAGACGGTTTGCGAAGGCGCTGTGACCAGCTGGATCAAAGGTTATAATTCGTCCTCTTCTTCGTCAAAATCATCCTCTTCACCCATATCATAGAGAATGCGTCCGCCCTCTCCAGGGCCGTCGCCTTGCTGCGCATCAAAGTAAGGCAACACGACTCCTTCTCTCTCCCTTCTTTGCCGTTCGGTGAGACGTAACTCAAAAGTCGACTCTGGTTCGCTGCTCCCCATTCCAACGTCTGGCTCCACCGGTGGACGATACAGCGGGTGATCGTCAAGTAGAATCACGATTTCCTTTGCGTAATTGGACGGATAGCGCGCTGCTGGTGGTAGTACATACCACTCCAAAACGCCGCGTCCACTTTTACGCCGATGCTCCATTTCTAACACGACCCCTTCTACAGAATCTTTTCCTGTTGGTTTGTCCAATCGGCCGAGCAGGACTCCATCCAGCTCTTCTTCGAGTCCAAAGACAGGCGCTGCCAGACTGCGATCACGGGCAGCTTTCTGGGCAAGTATGTGTGAGAAAGAGTGCAGCTTGATGACGGTCGTTGCGAGATAGCTAAGCGCAGAAAACGAAGATGGAGAGTAGGGTGTTGCACATAATTGGTTCGGAACGTCCTGGTGGAAGGTCACGATAAGTGAGGTCTCAACTTTGGTAGGAGACGACCCGGGAGGTGCAATGAACGAGCCCAGAAAAGTTGGCAAATGGAATTGCGAATCGGTCTTTTTAGAGCGCAAGAGTGGATTGATAGAATCAATGAGAATTAATCGACCTATAACCAGGGGCAAAGACGTAAGCATAATTGGGAAGAAATCGGTCCAAATATTTCACTCACGGCGCGCGGGAAGGTTAGAAGCAGGCTGGTAAGCAGCGCCTACTTCCTTGACAATTTCCGAAGGATGCTTCTTCCGAGCTGAAATGAATGCATCAACACCTTCGAAAGACCTCAATGTCTCGAAAGCTACGAGCGTTACATGAACTTTTGAAAGCTTCCCAGGGGCCGTTAGCACAATGAATTAGCTGAAAAATAGACGATGCTATTAATAGCAATAATCATAGCCGGCATGCATGATCAAAATGTAGCTTCTTGCTCATGGGTTGAACTACTCACCCTTGCACGTCGAATATACTCGTGAATCAACGGCGTGGCTGGTTGTTCTAGAGAGTCCAACAACAATGTGAGAGGGGAAGCTGTGTCTCTGAGGCTCAGAAGTTTCGAGATTAGAAGTAGATTATGTGTCTGCCGATGAGATAAATTTGATGAAGCCATTTTGTAGGCTACAAACGTCGGGCGTGCGCCTGTCGACGATGAAAAGTTTCGCGGTGCGGGGTTTGTTTCGAGGAATCGGATAAATTATTGAATCATCGACGCAGAATATTCTTGGGCAGTTCTTTGCGACTACTACTTTTCACAGTTAGACTGAGGCTCAGCGGGACGGGCCGTTAGGCTGCATCAAATTTGCAGTTATCTGGACACCTGACTGCCTGAGGCACTGAAAGCGAGTCAGCCCTTCATCTCTCGCTAGAGTCAAAGGCGCAAGGTATCCTTGTGGTTAGATAAGGTGTAGGGGAATGACGATTTTCTAGTATTTAACCTCGGGGTTGCCGATTAAGAACTAAGAAATCCTGAAAGCTACTTTTTGAATACTTCGTTGAGATTCGCGGGAGGCTACCTCACTACAGGTTGGCATTCTCAGACATCAGTCTCTCTATTCAGTCTGATGTGCTCCTAGACTTTCGTCCTCATCAGTCAAGCGGTACTTGGTATATTGCACGGATATGTGAGACCTTAAGTATTAGAAGATGTACGTGGGCCATCGAGGGCCATCGATGTCTCTCTGAGCTTCCGCCGAGTATTATCGAACCTATGGAGGACATAGTTTCGCTTCTAAACGAACCAGGCTGGGCTATTCTTGTCCGATGAAAGTGTGTCTTAGCGTTGGAGTTTCGAATTCAGCTCTGGTTTGAGATATCCACCAAACGATTGAAGCCCACCGTATCCAGTTATGTCGTTGTTTTTCTGCTGTGTCTGGTTTGTAAGAGATGACATATAGAATGATTAAGGTAACCAGTTTGACGATCCCATGAATATGCTATTTTTGGGAAAGGAGTCAATATATCGAAAATAGAACTGCAAAAAGGAGCTATTGCTCGTAAAACCGGACGAAATCAGCAGCGTAGACGAAAGCTGGCTAATCCAGTGCTGGAAGACAGTGACCCCTTCAGTACCCCTGTCCTCATCTTCTTTACTGTAGGGTTGGTATTGAAAGATGACGAGAAAATGGATGTGACTGAAGGTTGTAAAAGGTTGTTGAAAGTCGACGGCTTGAATTGGCTTAGTGGCGCATCGGGTAGAAATCGGCAACCGTATTAACTTCACGTTCTCCGTTTCAACTGCACCAAAGGTTGTTTCAGCAAAGGAACACGGCAAAACCCATTTTTCGATGATTTGATACCCCTTTTTTAGACAAGCCATGAGTCTCCCGTTGTTCCTATAATAATACCCTCAGCAGTCGCCTAATATCGCCTTACCTCGAGCGTCGAAAGAATCACGCCTCCCTTATCGACCATTACGATCACGATCTCCGCATCAGCGCAGAATCGAAAAATGGCAGAGCCCCCCGCGAAAAGAGCAAGACGGGTCGATAGCTCGACAATGTGGGACTTAGACGAACGAAAAACACGTTCTCCTGAGCCGGACTCAGATATTGGCAGAAGCCCTCGGCGTGACGCACATCAGAAGGACGATCGGCGGCGTGAGGGGCCCCGTGATGACAGAAGATATCGTTCCCGCTCAAGAGATCGGGTTGAAAGGCGCAGAGAAAGGAGCAGGTCTCGAGATCGGCGTGACCGGGACCGGGACCGTGACCGTGACCGCGATCGCGATAGGACGGATCGGGATAGAGACGGTCGGGGAGCAAAAGACAGAGATACAAGCGCGACCAGAGAAAGACATTATGACAGACGAGGTATGCTGTATCCTACTGGTGAATTCGAGTTACTCATACCTAATGCTCTCCAAGGATATCGAGACAGATACCGCGACCGCTCCCGCTCACCTACTCGGAATGGGAATAGGAACAGGACCAGAACTCCACCACCTCGAGGGCCGAAGGGAGATCGCAGAGACGATCGCAAAGAAAACCGTCCGTATGTCAATGGCGTTCCACATTCACCGTCACGACGAGACAAGGACGAGATGGAGTTGGACCCCGCAGTACCGATTGAAGAAGATGAAATGGAGGCGCTGATGCGCAAGACCGTGGGCTTTACAAGGTTCAGGAGCACGAAGAATACCAAAGTGCCTGGAAACAACATCTACGGTGTGCGGAAAGAGAAGAAGACTGTGTACAGACAGTACATGAACCGTGTAGGCGGATTCAACAGGCCCCTCAGTCCTTAATGCAAAGCGACACTGCAACTCTCTGATGCAACAATCACTAAGAACTTTTTATTTCCGCGACCTCTTCTCCCCATCTTCTTCATCTGGGCAGTTTCTTCAGTTCTCTTTGTCATCCATTGTGCGCATTTACCGGAGTAGGTTCTGTTATGGCATGCTCTTTTGTGTGTCTTAAATCTGGGCGGGATATTTGGAGTGTTCATATTCATTCAAACCAGATAAGAGCTAGCAGCTAGGTCATGCTTACCAAACCCTCAGTACAATACCAATAGCTTTCTGGCGATGAGAGCAAATAATTATTATTCTTCCTATCAGCTTTCAAGTCAAGGTTCTTTTCAAGTTGACCAACCCATATATACTGCGCTAATGCATAGGCAAACACCCTCTCTGAGACTCTCGTCAAAAGGCAGAGCATTGGTGGGCGGGAGACAAAGAGCTGCAATAATACAAGAACAAGCAATGATCCTCTGCGACAGCCTGTCAGCACTACAGGTGATCAGGAACTCACGCAACAAGTCAGAACAAGGCAGCGTCAGCATTGGAGGCGCGATGTTGCCAGCCATCCATACCCGACGATTATACGACCGGTTGCCAGGAAACTGTGCCTACCTATGTACTTACCCAACCGTGGGCTGGCCACTGCTGGCTGGTACCTTACGGTAAGATTTATTGGTTGCAAGAGAATGAACAATGTGAAGTCCTCTATTCGTCGATCCAGCTGACAGGTGCCCAACGCTCCCTACTCGCTCTGGACTTCATCGCTCTACTTAATCTCGTGCTCGCTGAGTCCTTGCAGACTATACAAATTAGACAACTTGACATAGAGTCTGATATACGCAGAACCATTATTCAGGAGTAATCCGTTTTCAATGTTGCCTTAACCTGACGCTACTCAACAGGGTACAGGTGCGATTTCCTTGATGACAATCCCAAGATCTTCGATGCCTCCAGCACTCAAGCAAAGAAAAACTTCCACGCATGACATAACCACTATCCCTTAGCTTCATACCCCCTTGGCTCCAATATGCTGGCGCTGTATTATATTGATTCTGCTTCTGCTGGCTTTGCTGCTGTGTTGCAGCCAACAGTAAGCTTATGTCTTGTATTCGCACTGTTGCGGGTTAGCTGTGCCAACTTATCATCCTCCTTTAGAGTATTTTACACAAGCAACTCGCTAGAGTCATTCCACTAGTTAGTTAACATAGAATTAAATTTGACCATGAATATAAGTACTATCTCACTAATGTCGAGCATTTGGTTCCGTCTATGTCGGCCCAAACACACTTCCCTCTATAAGTAGGAAAGAGGTTTGTATCAGGATCCTTGTCCTGAGTGCACTGGTCAAACAGACACTATGTAATCTAATCTGTAACATAGAAACGGGTAGTTCAAGCCAAGACATACGCAAAAGTAATACCAGTCTGGTTGACTGCAAAGTCGGTTTAATCCGTCAGGTACAAAGCTGTGGCCTGGTGGTGGTGCTAATGCTGGTGGTTCGCCCCAGCCACTATTGCACATCATTGCTCTTGGCTTATATGGGGGTAATTGGGCAAGTGTTATAGGAAATAGTCATCAAAGTATGAACTCATACTTCATGATGACAACGTCTGATAGTATAGATGAATATTTTATCCTTAGAGAAGTTGGGGACCTTAGGGTTGAAGTAATTGCAATGGCTACTCAGTCTACAATGTCTACCATAGTAGTTTATATTTGCTACAAGCTGAGCCCATGACAGGCCATAGACATCTAATATTAGGGTCCCTTGGTATCAGAGAAGTCAAGGAACCCCAATTCTGGGGGATTTGAGATTGAGACGATGATCAGATCCAGCCCCAGCCCCTCTGTGGCTATTCATATGTATTCGGAGTACTATATATGTTCACCCTGGGTTTCCAATCATCCTATCGGATGGGATACCAAGAGTCAAAAACAACGTCCTGAACTACGTCGATCCCGCGGGATGGTAATCTGCCGCAGACTTATATCAGCCGGGTGCTAGATTACCTTTCCAGGACTAACCTAAGAAGGCATTATTTTTGTGATCAGTTACTCCGTAGAAGGAGGAACAATTGGATTCCTTCTGGATGAGACATACAGTACCTCTCTGCTGCAGGCACTAAGTTCACTGTACACTTTATCTGTAAGTTTTCCAGCCTTTACTCAGCACATGCTCAAGAGAGCTCTCTAATCAGCATTCAGCAATTCAGAAGATTGATTTGGGCAGCCTACACCGTACACCTAGGCCATCGCATCCATGTCTGATGTAAGTTTGTAACAGGATAGATCTGCATTGTGCCAACACTGGTGCTCAGCCACTGGATATTTCTGTAAGCAGAGATCCTGAGGAGGGTTGTATGGGTCTCTTATAGGATGAATGGAATGTGGTTAGAGCGGCGAAGCATCGGAAACATCCTGAGGTTGACGTGTATCCTGATCCCAATCCTGAAGGATGTTGCGCGTCTATTGTAGCTGTCATCGGCCCCATAGGATGCTTCCGCTATCAAGGTACTGCGGAGCTCCAGAGACGGAGGAAGGGGTGGATAAAAAGGATCAGTGAAACCAGTAGATTCCTAACTCAGAGTGGGCCATCACATACCACGACTCCTGTCAGATGTTTCGACAAGTCTTTTGAGGACATGTGAGCACGGACATGTGTTTCAACTTTCAACCATGACCCTTCAAACCATGTCATGACCTCAAGCGATTAACGGACTGTCCTCGGCTCCTCTGGCCCCAAGCGTTTGCAAGTCCTAGTATGTACTCCGTACAGGATTGTCTTCAACATCTCAACCATTATCATTATGCTGACGCTGGATGACTACGGCAAACAGATGCTCTTCAAATGAGACTCGACATTTGGGATGTGGGGTTGGCTTTGCTGGTTGAAGGACGTACAAAGGCTAGATATTTCAAACCCCTAGAGTTAAGTAGGTGCTGGAATATTTGCCATACATGGAAACCTAGCTGCATTGGGGGTTATATTCGTGTCATTCTTTACCAATGTCATCTGAACTATACCTAAGGAAATGATAATAGAAATTTATCAGAAGGTATGTGCCGTTGTTTTGTACATTCATGAATAGGTGGAGGGGTTTTGTATGTCAGATGGCCTCTTGTACAGAATGAATTGGCTTGTAAAAGGAATGGTGCAGAATGTCGTCCCTATGCAAATGTGCAGATTGAATGGGGCATCAGTAATCCTCAAACAATGAGCACCTCGTCTTGGTCCGTTGCGTCCTCTTCCTCGGATACAAACTTCGTCTTCCAGTCGTACCAGAACTCGTAGCTCATTACGGTATGATCATCGTACATCAACAGCAGCCGATATCGACGCGAGGGATTCCAGCCTCGCCAATGCTCCTCTGGCTGATAGGCCCGGGTCGCTCTAGCGTGACACTCAGGCAGTGTGCATGGGTATTGTTGTTCACGCTCTGTGGGAGATTGTCTCAGCCCGGGCCCAGAAGGAAATGTCGGAGCGTATATCTTTCTCGAATCACCCTTGATATTGGGGGATGGAGTGAAGGTTTTGCTCCTGTCATGATTCATATCTTTAAATTGGAAATGCAATTCTTTGCCGTCGCCCACGTCGCGAGGGATGTAGGGCACATCTGGAGGCATCTCGAATCCCTGAATGGGGCTGACGCTCATGCCTAACAGGGGCACTAATGGACGCTCGCCGAACTTTTCCTGACTCGCGAATGGGACTATCCAATCGACTCTAAATGACAGGCCGGTTTCTTCTGATTGCGTGAGAGCTATCACAGCCGCACGGCCTTTCTGGGATGCCGCAACAACTATGCCGTGCTCGGGAATGCATTTGACCATATTAAATCGATCGCACGCCCGTATGGAGACTATGGGTCTGGTAAAAGCCTGTCGGAGCGGCGACCCACATACAACACTGGGTTGTGGCGCAAGAGGGTGAGGAAGCAGACGAATTTCTGTCTGTGAAAAATGAAGGATCGGAAAATAAAACCGAAATAGAGCTGGAGTCCGTAGCAACGTTTGTCAGCATGCCGCTGTTAAGTGAACTGCAGAGGAAAACCAGAGCTACATACCATCGGAACCCGAGTATGCGGGTAGTCCAGTGTCGGAAATTGCATCACTGTCGGAGGAACGATCCTCAGCGTCGTCCATCTCCTCATCAGTATCATCACTCTCTTCTCCCTGGTTGTCCTCGTCGATATCTGAGTAATCTAGATTGTCGTCAAGATATTCTTCGGCACCCGGGATGTCGCCACCTAAGGCTTCTAGCAGTGCAAACTGAAGAAACTCCGCGGTTGTCAAAGGTCCTTGTCCACGATGACGTCGGAAATTGACGTTTGCGTTGTGGAACCTATTTGTGTTCCCATTGTCGCCAGATCCGACAGCATCCTGGTTCGAAGCTCTCTGGCTTGGGTCCGAATTCATATCCGACTCACTACCTTCGTCCTCAGCAGCCGAATCATCTGCAGCATGATAATCAAGGCTGTCGGCTGCCTCTGAGGGATGATTGGCTTCACCAGCAGGCTCCGAGTCTGAAGAGCTGCTGCGGTTCTGGGGATGACCTTTGGGCCTTGTCGAATAGGCCTGTTTATGAGTGTCACTACTGATGCGACAGTCCGCTCCAAAAATGTCAGGCAAAACTGATTGACCAGGCTCAGACCTGACTGCGGGAGGAAAGTAGTTGTACAGATGTGAAGCATCCGGTATACGATTGCTCAATCTCGTAATGTCGAGAACGACCTGACCGCGCTTCTTGCGACGCAAAGGCTGGCCGCCAAACGCCTCTTCTGTAGTCTTGACTGGCTGAAAGGTGCGCGGGTCAAGGGCGAGGACGGCCCAGCCTCTTTCAGTGCTGTTTAAATTAGCATAAGTTGTCATTCAATACTAAGGATATCTGTCCCTTACTCATTACGCAAAGTCTCGGGAAACGACCTGACAGTAGATTCGTTGAAGTGATAGACGTTGAATGGGCCCAGGCTTTCCCAGATTTTCCACACAAGAAGCTTGTTGTCGATGTCAGTACTGACCATCCATGTTCCATTGGGATCAAGATCACAGTTATAGAACCCGACAGACGGTATGTTTGAGAAGTGCCCAGTGTAGGTGAGCTTGATGTTTCTTGTCCGATGCTTGTCCGGCATGAGTCGTTGCAATTGCGCAAATTGCTCATTACCCCTAAGGTCCAACCAGGTTTGATCGTAGTCCGTAAAATCGGGGTCATTCTCCAGCTCATCGCTACCGTCTTTAGATGTAGGATTTACCAGCGCAAATGCGAAGACAGTGATGAGACCTGTGTTTGCGCTTACAGCGATAAGCCGCGCAAATTTATGTATAGCCAAGCCCCAGGCGCTCGCCTGCACGTACTCAACGAAGAATGGGTCCACCTGGGAACCGTCAAGCGGGCGTTTGTCGTTTTCCTTGTTTTCTGCGGCGCGCTTCAGCGCCGAGAAAATTGCCTCGACTCGGTAACCACAGACATTACCCGAGTCAGTGACAAGTAGCAACACTTCCTCGCGACCGAGATCATCCACGAGAAGGTTGTTAATGGCATGAGGGAAGCTTGGCGATATATAGCCACTGCTATGGGGTTCCTTCATAACAGGAGTAATGATCATTTCAGGCTGGCAGCCAAGCATCTGCAACGAGCCAGCAGGCTCCCAGACATAGATTTGATGGCTGTAGGCCACGAACAGTAAGTTACGTCGCTGAGAAAGTGCGGCCTATAGATATATCAGTATAGGATTCCTGCTTGTGCACAAATTGCATTCAACTGACCAGATTGTTCCGCCAAGTTGCGGTCTGGGGAGGTATAGAGTCCGACCTGCGACAGCGTCAGTGTCATTCGGAGACTCTGGAAACAGAGCAGAGCTTGGACATACACAGGAAACTAAGAAAAGTAGTCAGCCAGTATCAATCCAGGAGCAACTGCGCTACACACCCTGTGTGATCCCTTTTCGACATTCAGCGGTCGGAGATGTAGGCCGTCTCTTGGGCGAAACCTCGGCCCCGAAGGTTCTCCATCAGGACCGCTGCGAGACGCCATATTTGGCAAATTACAGTGATCTTCACTGACAGGAGAGTGTCAGGAAAAGAGTTTCGCAATTCTACCGAGCTCCTGAAAGACACGGAAACAAAGTGGACGACTCGAGACGGTGAGAAGCGGAGGAGAGATGATAGTATTATCAAGCCATTAATATGAGGGGTATATGTACCAGACTGAAAACAACATCACCGAACCGCCCGGTTATATCGCATTAATACATCAAATATATGGATTCGAGGCATGTCTTGATTGTAGAAAGCGATATCGTCCAAAGCCGCCTTATGGAATGGACTAGGTTGTTAGACGATACGGAGTATACCTCGTCCTCTTGTGGTAATCAATGAGGTCAGACAATATTCCTTGATGCCTCAGGCATAAGCGCACGTGCCCTGTGCCCCCTTCAGTGAGCTGATCACCAAGTCTCCATCTGTTGACGATCACCACCGAGCTTTCTGCGAACGGGATAAAGCCAAGATGGATCTTGTTGCAGGTGTTCGCAAAGAAGGCAGCCGGTAAGCACTCCCTGAGATTTCTCTATACCCATGTAGTTACTCATTGAATATTGACTGTAACAGCGGCGGCCGCGGCGAGTTTAAATGGTCTGATGTGAAGGACTCGGCACATCGTGAGAATTACCTCGGCCATTCTCTTATGGCCCCCGTCGGTCGCTGGCAACAAGGTCGTGATCTACAATGGTATGCCAAGGGCGAGACAACCGCGGAAGAGCAGGCTCGAAGGGAGCGTGAGGAGCTACAACGGGTCAAACAAGCGGAGGAGGAAGCCATGGCACGAGCCTTGGGCCTACCCCTGCCAGCCTCGAGTGGCAGTGCCAATGCAAACCTTACACCTCTAGGGGAAAGGGAGACGGAGACTGCGGTCCAGGATCCAGCTGATAGGAAGAGAGAACGGAGAAGCGAGCGGAGTCGGAGTCCAGGAAGGCACCGTATACGGGATCGCGAGAGCAACAGAGACAGTGACCACAGAGACAGAGAACACAGACACCACAGACACCACAGGCATCATGAAGAGCGCGAACGTCATCATCGAAGCCACCGTCACCGATCGAGATCCCGGTCTGGTGATCGTGAACGCCGGAGGAGGCGAACGAGTTCGCGGTCCACGAGCAGAGTAAGGGCCGGGGAAGACGGTCACCGCAGACACAGAGAAGACCATCGTCGAAGACATCCAAGGGATCATGGCTCCGATCATTATCGACGCCGGTGAGTTTTTTGACTGCATCATATTTATGACTTTTTGCACATGGAGTTGGGCGCTGGGAGGTAAATGTTAGTGTACAGGTGTTTCGATTTTCTCTAGTATATCAATATATTTAATGATCTTTGATAAGTCTACAACTCGTCATGGCCTATTTGCTTGTTCGCAGGCAGGTCAGGCATTGACATGATCTTCACTACCATGCTGGTCCACCCTGTGAAGTGTTGGGTGCGCTGCCCCTTTCCGGTTTCAGGGTTGTACTGTTCCCAGGCAAATCCCGTCTCCTTCCATTGTCTGAAGACGTTTTCGACCAAGTTTTTCCGCAAGCTCGAGTACATCTCACGGGCCTGTTCTTGATGAGGACCAGATGTTGTTGCAATGTCCTAGTTGGCACAGTCAGTCTATCTGTACGAACCCAAGATTTCAGATAGTGGTTCTACTCACGTAAAGATTCTCGACCACCAGATAGTTGATAGGCATCCAAATCGGGCTTCTCCAATAATTCTCGGCAGTACCGTAGAACTCGTCTTTCTTGCTCAAGCTACGGATACCGTAGTCGCTCCAAAGCTCTTCTGGATCCCTGATCAAATCCAGAACAGCCTTGAGTCGTGGACTATCAGGGCCCAGCATGCCTGTCAAGAACGGAAAGAGGGAGATATAGCCCTTGTGACAAACATGGACACTTTCCTCGAATTCGTCAATGGTGGCATCGCAGTACGTCTGTGCCTCCTCATCCCAATGAAGATCGTCAATGTTACGCTCAATCGCCGTTTCGTACCCTCTAAATTCTTCCACATCCTCGGTCTCGCCGACAAACTCCGCGATACGTCGCATGGCACGAGTCATCATTCCCATCCAGCTAATCAAATCGACATGCAGCTCGCCTGGATGGGGAGGCTGCGGGCGAGGATAATCATCAAGTCCCGAAGTGAGAATATGCTGGACGGACCTTCCTCGCCAGCGGTATGCTTCTTTCGTGGAAAAGGCTTCCCGGTCGTACGACTTGATGTCTCCCTTTTGGGTAGTCCTGTACCAAAAGTAATGCCGCTTGAGCAGCGGATAGATCGATCGGATGAATGCCTCGCCCAGTTCCGGTTTTTGCAGATAGGTCATACGCAGACTGTCCAGCGCGCCCTGGCCGCCGGAGTTTTGAGAATAGGCGCCCTTGCTAGCCTCCAGCTTATCCAGGAACGCCTCCAATACCATGAACAGAGTCGGTGGGTTGGCGTAGTGAGGATACTGTACCGTAAATTCTGGTGGCACCTTGCTACGGGCCTCGGCGCCAAGGATTTGCTCTCGAGCGATCCAGCCATCCTCATCCATCAGATTCAGCCAGCTCTTTACAATTTCGAGCCTTTCTCTGAGTTAGTAGGCCAATTTATAAACGGATATTTGGGAATAGGGAAATAGGCCAGGTAAATCGAGCAACATACGCGAGGTCAGTGTCCCAGTCAATCACAGGTATCAGGTGGAATCCCTCATCCCATAGAAACCCTCTGGGGAAAAAGGGGCGAGACGGGACACAAGTGAAAAGGTCCTTAGGCCCTTCAAGAACAGGTTGAGCTCGCGCCCTCGCCTCGGCCGTCTCCTCCCAGAAACCTTCGTTTTCTTCATCGTACTCTGGTGCTGCAGAGCGGTCAACAACATCATCTCCATGGAAAAAGCCAATACCGCCAATTAGATTCGACAGCATCGCCTTGGAGAACTCAGAGTACTCCGCAGTCTTGAAGGGAGACTGCGGTGGAAGGACTTTGTTGAAGCGTTCAGAGAATGATTGGGATGCGCTGGAGATCACTTCTGTGAGCTTGTCGGCTACATCTCTTTGATTAGTATGTCCATTCGATCTGCCAGCGCGGCCAAGAGAAAGAGAAGCTTACACGTCACGGGATCTGGAGAAGACCCCGAATTGAACAGGATATCGAACTGGGAAGTGTAAGCCATGTACAGACGAGAAAATGGTAAACAATACCTCAAAAGCACCCTTGAACACCTTCTGGATGAGGTGAATATTTCCGTCACCAGGAGCGTTCTTGATTGTAAAGACTTGCGCTGGTGGGGGAGGATTCTCCTGACCAAATCTCTGTATCATCTCATTGACTTCGGACTTCATCTGCGCGAAGAGAATGGCTGTACATACGTCAGCGCCAATTTCATATGAGAGAGCAATTCCTCGGGATGCTGAGCCTACGTTTCACCTGCCAGAGGTTTTCAGGCGCAATGGTAGAGCTGGAAACCAGAGTGCGATCCAGCGGCTTGTCCTCGTAGGACGGGTGCCCATGCTCAGGATGCTCATTGGTTTCAGGGCCAGCAGTCACATCGATGGAGAAGTCCCCAAGCTCGGTTGTATATCCCGTCAATTTCACGTCCCCTTCATACCCTAGAGGACCCGATACCGTCGCAACACCCAGGTTACCTAGTCCCTCCAAAGTAGCATAGAAGACGATCGATGTAGGCTGGTCGGGGGAACCGTCTTCGCGCGGGACACCTCTCACTCTGGCAGCCCAGCTGCCGCCATGTTGTCCACCAGGGACCTTAATAAAGTCGATTGTCAAGTCCAAGGAGTTTCCGGTGTCATGGATTGTCTGCCGGCCGCCTTTCCTGATATCGTACTCGTCCCAGCCATAGCCAGCCATGCCTTCATTCTGCTCGCAAGTATGCCTGAAGCCTTCGAATAGCGGTCAGTATTCAATGCAACGCAATCGCCCTCTAAATTGCACTTAGGGGTGCTGCAAACATACTGGCTTGCGCGGTGGCATAGTTGTCCACCTTAGCCCACATCAACCCGGCGGAGAGACTATTTGCGATGCGAGGGCGGACACCAAAATAGAGATTGGACTTGTAGGGACCCCATAATAACGAGTCGTTGTTGGCCTTCGCTGTCTGGGTGGTCAGGACAGATAAATCGTCTGCGGCGGAGGCTTGACCAGCGGAGACCACGACATTATAGAGAAAGGGCGCGAGAAGGAAATGTAAGTTCGGGAAATGCATATCTAGGAATGCATCGGAAGAAAAGTAGAAACCTCAAGATTCGGCATGAAATTATAAGATGGAGACCTTGCAATTGGAATGGTTCTCACTTCTCAACACTTCCTATGATCTGTCCTAAAGCGGAGAGCTTCTGGCTTCCGCTCCACGTGGCCCGAGCTCCTATACCCAAGTCAAGTCCTGTCTGTCTTCTACCCCGTATCTACTTGAGCAACTCAAGATTGAGCTGAGATGATGAGGCACAAATTACTTCCAGATATGGCTACACCAAAAGTGACATGATTCTAGTCTATATAGAGCTTTCAAAGAAAGTTCCTCGGATCTAGAGACCCGATCCTGGCGCTCTTTGCCTCGCCATCGAAGACAAATTCGCTGATAAGCTTTCCGGTCCCGGGAGCGTTTTGGATACCCCAGCAGGTGTGTCCAGCGGCGAGGTAGAGCCCTTTAGTGCCAGTGTGGCCGATCAAGGGTCCTCCCCGTACGGTGACGTTGGGCAAGTAGCAAGCTTGCCGTGCGCAAACCTGTCCGTCCCGAAGCTCATCGGATATGCTTCCCACTTGGTCGATGATGTCCTGGCACCGTCTCTGGTCCACTTCAACATCTGCTGCGGTCTTTGGAAGCGGGACAACTTGGTCACCCTCGCCACAAGCGTATACCGTCTCATCGGGGCGGGCGTAGATCTCAGGGGACACGACTGTGGGGCGTGAGGGCTTCGATGGATCGAAGTTGGCGGGTATTTCAATGTTCGTAAATAGAGTATGAGCGCTCACCGGCTTGGTTGGTCGGATGACAACACTGTGAGCGCGCATTGCCGATATGGGAGCTTCCGGCATGACCGTTCGTGTCCAGGGACCAGCGGCAATAATGACGTCCGTCGCCGAAATTGTGCGCGACTCTCCAGATTCCTTATCATTGTATGTAACTGACTCCACAGCATCCCCTGCGTAGCCAATGTTTGTCACTGATCCCAACTTGATCTCTGCGCCTTTCTCCTCGGCAAGCTTTGCGATTGATGTGGTGAAGAGGTAGGGGTGGACTTGGGCGGTCTCGCCAGGGTCGCTCATGCTCTCATAGCCTCTGATCAGTTGGGGATCTATCCAATCCAGATCATGCGGAAATTTGGCTTTCCGTAGTTTCGCAATAGCAGCTTCACTCCGCTTTTGAAGGGATAATGAGCTTCCCGTGTCCTTCTCGCCGGCATCCTTCTTTTCATTAAGAGGACGGCCTTTCACAACAATCTGTCCACAGCCAACCTCTCTATAACCCCATCTTACCTTGCCGTTGTGTTCCTTGGTCAGATCCGCGTGCAGCTTGTAGCTCAGAGGAACTATACTGCTTGGATATGCCCATAGCGCCAGCAGCCCCCCAGCTTTGCCTGATGCGCCTCCGGCAATTTCTGTCGCCTCGATCAGAGTCACTTTATGGCGCGAAGGATCGTATGATGGATGTCTTGTCAAATAATATGCGGAACAGCATCCAATAATACCACCGCCTTTGGGACCAACTTATCAGCTTTGCGCGCCTCAAAATGTGTGCGGGGTAGTTCGGATTGCAAGTAGACCAAATTTCATACATACCGACGATAACAATTTCACGACGCTCACTCGAAGTCGACATCTTACGTTGCAGGTACAATCTGGGTCGCAGAAACCTTATGGAAGCCACACTTACGGAAGTAGTTGTTGGTATGCGATATTAGACGCTCTCTAGATGGGAGGTGTGGGGAATATAAAAAGCGGCTATATATGGCACTCTTCATCCCTATGACGCAAGAGTTCAACAAGCACTTTACTATGTACACTCTAGGGCTATCTCCGGGACGCTTGTCAATTCCTGGGAAACCATACAACAGCTGACCCACAGACAGCCACTACCACAATTAGCCTGCCTAAGAGCCAGCCGGAAAATGGCTGTACTGGTATGGGATGGTTCTGGGTTTGTGTTATTTGTGACAGATATGGTGCGGCATTGTATCAGGATGATTGTTTTGTTGAACTGAGAAGGATGTTCAGCATCTCTTTCTCTTCTTTGGCTTTCTTTCTTCCAGAAAATTGGAGGTATCTTGCATTGTACATCAGGTAATTGACAGAATATGTTCGCACAGGTACAGCTTTTTTCAACAGACACACAAAACACGCAATGCTATGAACAAAATGTCGCTAATCATATATATATGCATCACATCATTATTTGACAAATGCATGCAAAAAGATGTTGTCTCTTTTAAAGGCAGTTGGGCATCATCGTGATAGTTTATGTAGTTCATGGTTAGATCATAGTCGTCAAGAATGCCTGATTGTTGTGTGGAGCATATCGGGCAGTCAGAAGTCGTCATCCAATTCGTCACTGTCCCATTCATCCTCACGATCATTCTGAACCAGATCCAAAAACCTCTGGAGGCCTGGCCGATGGATTCGTCCTGGTCGAGGCGGCTGAGCTGCAGCTTGCCCGTCATGTTGCCGAGGACGCGCTCGTACCTCAGCTATCGCTCGCGCCTGGGCCTGCCTCTCTGCGGCTGCTGCCCTGCCTGCTGCATCCAGAACATTCGCATCATTACCACGATTTCGGTGACCATGACCACCTGCAGCTTGGTTGACTTGCGGTGGCACAGGTGCAGGAGGCGGAGGTCGCCTTCGGTGTGCGATCTCATCTTCACGGAATTCCAGGACAGGAGCACCTTCGTCATCACTCGGTTCGTCAAAAACGACCAGATCATTAGGTATTCGGTGTAGAGCCTCCGGACCCTCGGGGTCAATGCCATCTCCTCCCTCCAAATCCCACAATCGATTATAACACTGGCTGTTGATGTCGTTGAAGTGCCGGTAAGGGTTGTCTTCAGAGAGCCAGCTCGAACAGAGATAGCAGAAGTGGGTACTGCACTTGAAACATATCATATGGTTGCAGCCCATGCGTTTCTGACAGGGAGCATCGCATGTTGGGCAAGGTGAGGTGTAAAGCCTTAGGTACTCCTCTGTCGCTTTCTCTTCGGCTGACAGCTCCGCTTCCCGCCGAGGGAAGCACCGCACCAATTCACCATGCCAACCTTTCTTACAGACGCTGCAGAAGGCATAGTTGCAATCTTCACAGATGGCAACACGATCCGCCATTGGCGGCAGTTGGGCCTCATCGCCATTCGGATCAAACGCAAAGCCTTCCTCCTCGTCAGACGAGTCAACGTCATCTGACATGGGATCGATGGGCTTCGGATGCTTCTTGGACCGAGCTGCACCCTGGCACCACTGTCGAGGGCAGTAAACTGTCGACTTGTCAGACTCGAGCTTCTTCTTTCTTTTCAGAAAGACATAGCGCTGGACTGTCTCTTGGTCTAATGGTATCTGAAGCAGCTCGCTCGGACTAAGAGTTCGATCGTGCTTCTTGCGCTTTTTCAACTGGTTCCCTGTCTCGGGTATATCATTTTTCTCCTTGCCGCAATCGGGTGCCAGACATTTGACGCTGTCAACATCTCCCTCTGTGATACAACTGTTGTAGAAGTCTTGCAGGCATGACACGCAGAAAACATGTGAACAAAACAGAAGGCGGTGGCAAACCGATCCCTTCTTGGGCTCGAGGCAAACCCCGCATTCGAAGGTCTCTTGTTCGAACTTTTCCCGCTCTGCCTTGTTGTTGAAATCCAGCAACGCGATTTTAATGTCACGGGGAAGTCGTACTTCATGGTCAGCCGTGTCGCTGACGCTAAAAGCTGTCTCTGCCAATTGCTGGAGGTGATCAATATACGTATACACAACAAGATCCCTCCCGCATTCTTCCCACAGACGGTTGCCATCCTCCGTGAGGCGCAAGATGATCGAGTGCGGGAGCCATGGTGGATTTGTCTCAAGCCTGAAAATGGGCGCCTTTTCAGAAGGGTAGCCTTCCGGGATATCAATCTCAAGACTGAGAGGCGGAAGGTGCGAGAGCGTATGAACGTCCCGTCCGTCGTCCTTGGTTGCAAATCCGAGTCCGACATCGCTGGCATCGAGGGAAGTAGGAGGAGTCAAAACCTCTGGGAATCCAGCGTCTAATTGTTGCTCGAAGCAGACAGGTAAGGGTGTTGAAGGTTTGACGGGTATATCCAAAGAGGCCCTGAAGGGAAAGGCTGAATCTATTTTGATTTCAGGGTAGATGGCAGCGATGGAGGACAGCTCGACTGAGCGTTCATCCTCCGACAAAAAGTCAGACCCCGTCATGGCGAACAAGACGGAGAGACGAAAAGAACGCAGATTTGCTGATGGAGATTATCGAGATAAGAGGTTATATCGGGTGGCGAGGCGGAGTTTGGACGGAGTTATTCCAAACTCAACCATAGTATAAAATCGGAACGCTCGTGCCGTCTATAACATTCTGCGAGACAATGATCGACTTGAAAATTAAAAGTAGTTTATATTGACGACCATGTAGAGATATACCCGGGTTCGGGGAGAGTAACGTGGTGTCGGAGACTCGATGAAACCTATCCGTGTCTATGCATTAGTAAAAGAGGCCCAAGGTAGCTTGAAAACGAGTGGTGGCGGTCGAGAAGACGACCATGGATGGATTCTACCTACTCCTCAGGTACAATCAGCTCGTTAGATGATCACAATTGCCTATGAAGGCAACAGACCCATCAAGCAAAGAGATCGATATGAAGTCAAAGCGAGTTCTTGAACTGTTTGCAGTTTTCTAGAGGGAGTTGTCGGAGAAGATAAGTGTGAGAACAAAATTTCGTGATGATAACGTGGGGGAAAGTGCGTCATGATTCGATTATAGAGATAAGAAACCGAGTAATGAGAGACGGAGACTGGTCTTGTACCTGAGACAGCAGAGGAGCTCCGAAGAAGCAAGAGGAGGAAAGGAGCAAAGAACAGAGACTGCGTGAGTCATGAAAAGGACTTGATAAAAATAAGCGATTGCAATGGGCAGCAAAACGGTTGTTGTTTTGTTGCTGCCCAGGCGCTGCTCTCACTTCCGTGCAGGTGTACCTCTCTATGGTCCTTATAATTTATCTACTTCGCTAAAAATATTGACGGACATGTTGAGTGATTTCCACTAATAAGAGGTACTTGTTTTACCTTCTTTTTTTTAGTTAGATTTCTGAATTTCGTGGCTTATCTTCGACTCATTATCTGATGTTATTTCCCCTCCCCCTCATTCCCGGTGCTGCTTTTGGTGATCCTCAGCGGGATCTCGTTCATGTGATAAGAGTGGTTAAAGCAGCGGCCATGCACGGCCACGGTTATCGCTCTTTATCAGACCCATCGAGTACAACCACTGTACTCCGATGAATGTCGACTAGCACCGAGAATGCTTGAAGCATAAATTGCGCTGTAAACCCCAGGTGACGGCGGGATCTTTGATACGTATCGCACTGCACACTCTCTTCATGATGTATACCAGTTGACCATCATCGGTCGAGATTCCTATCAGTTATCAACAACACTCCAGGGTGCAGTGCAGGTGCTTACACCAATTCGTCCAAATAGATAGTCACGCTGCCTATCTATCGTATACACCTACGAGACAATATGGAAGAAACACCACTGGCATCGCTGTCGTTAACCCACGTGCATTATGTGAGTCTGTTCCGAAAGGACTCAATCACCGACCGGCTATCTCGAGCAGAACTTTGATACTGACTTCCATACTTCATGTTCATAGAACCCTGAAGACCCGCTATCCTTCCTTTCTGCCTGGCTTGCCCTTGTACCCCAAGCACTATGTGTGGCCTACGTGACCCTTATCTGGGCTTCGAGAGAAGTGGAGGTAATTTTCATGTTTTCTGGGCAAATGGGTTGTGAGGCATTCAATTTTGTCCTCAAGCGAATCATCAAAGAGGAAAGGCCAAAGCGTATGTGATAGAAGCAGAGGATACACGCAGCGACTTACTTAGGCTAAAGACTGACCTTATCCAGAAATGCTCGGGAAAGGCTACGGGATGCCATCGTCCCACGCCCAATTCGTCACATATTTCGCTGTCTACCTGACTCTGTTCCTCCTCGTCCGGCATGTTCCAACCGTTCCAAAGTCTGATACGACATCCTATTTTCTCATGCGGGTGGCACTCGCTGCCGGAGTGTGTCTCGGGGCTGGCGCGGTGGCCACCAGCCGCATCTATTTGAACTATCATACTCCAAAACAGGTGCTAGCAGGATGCGCTGCTGGCGTTCTATGTGCGGTATCCTGGTATGTGGCTACGAGCTTTTTGCGGACGGAGGGTTATGTGGATTGGATATTAGATTTGGGAGTATCTCAATTCTTGAGACTTCGCGACTTAGTAGTAAGTCAGGATCTCGCAGAAGCCGGATGGCTGCAATGGGAAAGGCAGCGAAAGTTGAAGAGGCGAGGTCACAGTGATCAACCGTCGGCCAAATCTGATTGAATATCGGAGACTTCATGGACCTACTGTTATAGCAGGTTGATCGCCCGTGTATCGGTTTCTATATGATACCCTAGCTTCCAGCGTGCTTGCTGAAATAATATACAGTAGAATTGAATTTTATCTTAGCACTGAGTGAACTTTAAAGAACTTAGAATTGACGGAGATACGTCCCATGTCAAGAACAATCCTGCTTTTGCCCTGTCCGCACTGCCCTGCAGCTGCATGCTTGTAGATAGTTCTTCGCAAGCAGTGGAGTCATCGCAGTCAATTTAGCATCTCGAGCCATGTCCTGGTCCAAAAAGTCGTACCGTCTTCTCAAAGTGTATACGATCACGTGACAGCCAGCGGCGGGTGCGCGTGGACAGTCCACCGCCATAAGCGATCTCTCAACTGCTTCGTCGCTATGTGCAGAGGTGGAATTCCGCAGGATAAATCTTGAAGACTGATAACGATGCTTGGCCGCTTGAATTATCCCAGACATTTTCCTCAGTGGAAGACTTAGGCTTCTATCCGTATTTCTTTGCCTGCCCCTCATCTTTTGATTTCAGTTTGCTTGGAGACACCATGATAGTATGGCTTTACAGTAACATTTTCCGTCTTTGTCCTAAGCCATTTCCTCGAAACATTGAGACCACTTTTAGAGCTCAGTGATGGATGATTCTATTGCGTCTTCTGACTCCACAATGGAGGAACATCATATTGTCAAGGCCGACGAGGTTGATCAAACAGGAACCGACATCACAACTGTGTCAGATGATCAGTTGATGGAAGAGGTCGTGCAAGGCCTGCGACAGGAGCAAGCTTCAAAAGCGACGTCTGCTGGACCAAATGAATTGCAAGAGCAAAGATCCAAACCGTCGAGGCGTCCAGAACTGCGTCGGGACGTATCAGCTCCCCCGCCTCCTTTACAGCCTCCGCCTCCTGCCCCGGTGCAGCAACTGCCGGACAGACCGCCGGACTCGCTGAGTCTGGCTCAATTAAAGCAAATAGTTCAGGACATGCCCAAGGCCGATCAACCTGCGTATGCATTCGAGTACGCTGACTCTCAGCCTCTTGCGGAAGAAATCGAAGAATGGTTCCAGTACAGCGAGTTTGATCGGATCATGCTCCTTGACATGAAGTCTACATTTGAGCGAAAATGGGTTTCTTTCTGTGAGAAGCAGTCTGCGGTTTCCAATCGTCTGCCTTGGCTTGATGCTCCTCATGACTTACGCAAATCTTTCATGGAACAGATAATAAATGGGCTGCCGGATCGAGACATTTCAGCTCGTACCGAAGCGTTAGAGGTTGTTTGCTATGCATTGACTGGTATCTGGGGTAGTACTGCTGGAAAAGCAGTCCCTGACTACCCAGAAGATCTGCCCCCGCAGGCAGTCACAGATACGCCCAAATCAAAATCACTGCAAATCATATGGATGCAGAGAAATGCCGAGCTTGTCAATGAGTGTTCAGGACTTGGTCCATTGCTCAGTTGTCTGTGCAAAGCTCTTGAGAAGAATCGGAGCTCACCCAATCCCGAGTTGGACGGTCTGGACTCGAACTCGGATTCCGCAAATGTTGCTGCGTCAGAACATGAAGTGAACCTTGTGCTTACGGCTTTATACATAGTCGTAGAGATTGGCCGAAGACAAGAGAAACATGATCCTCAAAACGTTCCCCTACGTGATGCGCTCATGGGCCTGAAGCCTAACTTGTCAGTCTTTCTTGTTGAAGTCATCGCACGACTGCGGTGGGATGATTCAGCAAACATTCCACTCACGCGGATCATCCTCCTTTTTTGGAAGTGTCTTCTCCTCTTCTTTGGGGGAAGCGATAGCTTGAAGAACGCCAAGGAAGAGTTGGAGCCGCGAATGGAGGCACGAGAAAACTCTCCCAACCGGAGGACACCATTTTTGACTGCTTCCCCCCTGGATTATCACCTGTTCCGGCAAGAGATCACATCAAAGTACCCTGCTTACAACCCCCCGCTACCTGTCGTTCCTCTGGAGCTTGAAAATAACTCTATTCTCCCTCCTCTTCCTCAGCATCCTAGCCGCACCAGTTCATCTACCGGCCTCTTTTCCGGAGTAGGTCCCTCTGTGGCTGGTGGAAACGGCTCTATCCTCCATCAGTCTGTCCACATCGCTACACCGGCACCATCACCTCCACCGTCACCTATAGGACCGGGCGGCAAAGCGGGCAAGAAGCAGAATTACCAGACGAACCAGAACTTTCCTTTTATGTATCCTCCTTTGGATGACTCGAGCAATGATATCGGCGGAAGAGGCAGCACTGAACGGCAAGATGCCCTCGTGGGAAAGCGGTGGGAAGGAAGCGATGTACCGGCGTCAATCATTGAAGCCGGAAAGCTCTTCTCGACTCACGTTAAGATGACTAGAGCGATGCGCCAGCTGTGGGAAGAAAGGGAGCGTTTCATGAAATATGACCGCGGTTGGTATCTTGACGAGAAAAACTCAGCTGGCTCAGACGAGGACCCCTCTGGTGAACTTGTTGAGGACCTGGAAAACCTGGTTTTAGAGGAGAGAAGAAAGTCGAGTCACAGTTGGGCCCCACAGAGGGAGACCGATAATGATGACATACAGCGCCGACTAGATGCTGTTGAATCGTTCTACGTACGTGTTCCCCTCTCTTTAACATGGTTGACATACTCATGCGTTGATAGTCCCAAGTATTGGTGCATCTACAGTCGATCACAATCGTCTTCTTGAAGATCATTCTGACCAATGTCAGCGCTATGATCAATCAAGCGAATGGTCAGAATGGACATGCCATGAGGTACGTAGCAGACAGTCTGTTGACAAACACAGGAAGAACAAGAAAAATGCTGACTTGACGGTTAGTGATGGCTACGGAGCCGTCAACGGGTTCCCAGCTGCACCCAATAGCTTCTCGGACAGTTTTAATGCCGATGCTGCCATTGAGGAGCTTGACAACATTCGCCTGCGAGAAATTACAGGGAAGGCTATATCGGGATCTTTATTGCTCATGTTGAAGTGGTTCAAGAGATCTCGTAAGTTACAAGTTCGAGGCCTATGTGACATGGTTTCTAACAGGCTGTAGATATATTAAAGTTTGAGTATATGACGCAGCTTTTGCTCGATTCGAACTATCTACCTCTGATTCTGAAGATGTTCGCGCACCAAGACATCGACCAGGCGATAGCACAGAAGAACGACCGTGAAGAACTAGGGTAGGTGCTCGTCAAATACTGATCACGGTTAAGACACTAACTCTGAGCAGTTTCTTTCACTTTTGTCATGTTCATTCCGATCAACCGCCGAATTCAGCCGATAACTCAGACGAGGACTCGTCACCGAGTGAAGATGAAGCTGTGCCCCCGCCTATTCTTCGGCACCGCCGTGACACGGATCCTGGCACCTCCTCAGTACGACCGTCATCTCCCCAGGAGGCTCTCCCTGAACTGGTAGAAGGCCCTCATCGTCCTGAAGTTGACGAACTGGGATTCCCGACTGCTCCTCCGCCGAAAGAGCCCATAACGGTGTTCTCGTTTCGGAACTTCTTCTCTGCCATCAATTACCTCCACATCATGCAGAAGATCACCCGAGACAAGGCACACAGATGTCTGCTCCTCGTTCAGTACAAGTCCAGCACCATCTTACGAAAGGGGCTCAGGATTCCTGATCCCCACCTGCGATTCTACACCCTGAAATTGTTCAAATCTCAGGTACCGTACTGTGGCCGCAAGTGGCGCCAGAGCAACATGCGTGTCATCACTGCAATTTATCTATACTGCCGCCCGGAGCTACGGGATGACTGGCTGGCTGGGTCGGATATTGACGCAGAAGTGGAGGAGGCATTGCCCCTGGAACAAGCCCTCAGAGGGCTGACACACTGGTGGCACCTACGTCGATACAAGGACGTGATGGGCGGCGAAGAAGGTGCGTCCATGATGGAAGAAGAGCGGGACTTCTTTGTACGCGAGTTGGAAGCTATGGGTTGGGGGTTTGCAGGTGAGGAAATGATGAATGAGGAGGCGGAAATGGCTGCCAACGGGGCCATGATGAATGGGACGGAATGGGATGGTGGCCCCTTGCAGATGGAAGGATGGTGATGTAAATGTCTTTTAGCGTTGGGAAACATATTGCCGCTGCATTTTGTTGGAATGGCCGTCATGATGCGTGGGATATTCCCCTCGGTAGTATAGAGTAGTAGAGTATCGGCTGGCTGTGATAAAACAGAGGAACAAATAGATCAGTTGATAACGATAAGCCGGCAATCGATAAGCGCCGACCACGTGACCTATTGCTACCGCAACTTTTTTTTTCTTGCGGAGAAAATCAGCTTTCGATCCATCAGGTCAACAGAAAACCATTCTGCCTCTGAACAGGCTACGCAGGTCAAATCCGGTGCACATAGCAGCCGGAATCATATATCATGTCTTCCGACGAGATTGTCTGGCAGGTTATCAACCAGCAGTTCTGCTCCTACAAGCTCAAGTGAGTGAAACCCAGCGAACGCTCGTCGAATTCGCCGCCCGCGAAAAACAAGATCTCAGCCGATGAAATTTACGCACGTACTAATACCGCACGATTCAGGACAACTAAAGGCCAGAACTTCTGCCGCAATGAATACAATGTCAGCGGTCTCTGCAATCGGCAGTCCTGCCCGCTGGCCAACTCCCGGTACGCTACCGTGCGGTCGGATCCAGAGACCGGCGTCATGTACCTGTACATGAAGACGATCGAACGAGCCCACATGCCCAGCAAGCTCTGGGAGCGGATCAGATTATCGTCCAACTACGCCAAGGCGCTCGAGCAGCTCGACGAGCGGCTGATCTACTGGCCCAAGTTTCTTGTTCATAAGTGCAAGCAGCGTCTCACGCGGCTGACGCAGGTG